TTGAATAAACGAGATGAACCATGAATAAAATATTATATCGTCTACATACCATGATTATCCAACGGTCCGTATTTAAGGAGGCTTATGCTCTCAAAAGACAAAAAGTAATATCCACCTTTGTGCCACTCTAGTGATTCATTGGCCGACATGTGTAATGGGAAATCTAAATTTAACACATTGGAATTTCCGAAATTAATATTTTAAACTTACCCTTTTTATTATAAAAATATAATTAATTAATTAATTTTATGAGGTTTTGAGTTTACTTTTGTACTTATAAACAAAGGTCAATTATGTAAATTTAATTAGTCCAAGCTGTTGGAATCAAAATCGATAATCAAGGAAATTATAATGCCTTAATTCTCTGTGACTCATTATAAAATCTAGCTGTGAAGATAATTAATTCTTTTATAACAATTATAAATTCCTTTATATAATTGAATAAATAAATAAATAAATATTTTTCTATGGTAATCATATGTAATGTGAATTGTTTTTTCTTTATATAAAGTTACCAAGTTGTTGTTGTGTACAGTTGAATTGAAGTTCCAAGGACATAAGACAGTAAGCCCTGCAGCGCCAGTTTGTGTTGTTCTCTCCTCTAAAAGCATCATGTCTGTCAGGTTTTACTACTTCTTCTCTTCTTCTTTGAGATAAAACCTTGATGTCCTTTCTTTTAATAACATGAAAGTGAGCCATAACGAGACCAGCTTCCTACTGAGTTCTCATGAAGTACTCTCTCTACTTCCTGCTGCTGCTGCTGCTGCTGCTGCTGTCAGCTTGCAACTTGAAAACTGAAACAGCTTTGGGTTGGTAAGTTGAATGAAATCTTTGTCTGTTGGCTGTTTGTTTTTTTGTTATCTTTATCATGAGTTTTATTTTATTTTATTTTATTTTCAAAAGGGTTGCCTTTTTTGTGGAGATATTTGAGTTTTGAATTCTGGGTTCTTATCCTTTCTTTCTGTTTTCCTATTGGATTGCTTAAACCATGAGAAAAGTCTGGTTTTTGAGTTGTAGATGACTTGGGACTCTTTCAAAAAAAAGAAAAAAAAGTTTAATGCTTGGAACTAAGTTCAAGTTCTCTCACTTCCTCAATATTTCTGGTTGGTTTTGTACTTTGTAGACTTCCAAATTCTATAATATTCTCTCTTTGGAAAAAAATTATTGTGTGTTTATGATATGATTTGTTTACCATGTTTGGTTGCTTGGAAAATATAAATTTTTTAATTTTAAATGTGATTTCTTTGGTTCTTTTTTTGTTTCCAGATTTAGGATAAAAAGTCCTTTTCTAGGCTTCTAGCAGGCTTAGCAGCTTTATTCTAGGGGGGGTCTTGCTCAGATTTAATTTCTTTAAATATTTAGTAATTGTGCAAGGCTTTTTCTGGTTTTCTTTTTCTTTTTACAACTTAGATTTCCAGAAATAGGTACCCTTTTCTCATTAGCCTCTGAGATGGAAAATAGGAAGACAAAAACCTAGATTTTTTTTGCTAGGTTTGGTTTCATCTTTAGGTGTATTTATTTGTGTTTTCCTGCTGGTTTACTGGATCTGCAATTTTCACTTTCTCTCGTAGATTCCATACTTTTGACCTGAAATAGTCTCTCTGTCTTCCTCTTATTGTATTGTTCTATAATTCTTTTTACAGGTATACATTCTTTTTTGGTACTGCTTTGTTTTCCATCAGTAGGGGTTAGATTGGATACCATAGCTGTGGCTTGGGATGCACTTCTTTTTCTTTGTCTGTTCCCTTGGTAAGCACTAACAATATGGTTTTTTTTTTTTTTGCCTTTTTATCTTCAGTGATTAAACAGATAAACTAGATGCAAGATGGAATTTTCTGACTGTACGAGAGTTTTGTTCAATAGAATTTGGAAACTTGAACCTGAGAATGCCGCAAAGGTTATAGGAATTCTTCTTTTGCAAGGCTATGGTGACCAAGAGATGGTTCAGTTGGCTATGTGTCCTGATTTGGTTATCCAGGAAATAATTTACAAAGCCAAGGCTGAACTACAACAGCTACCTCTTAAATCAGGGTCACCTCCTATATCCCCTTCCATGAACTCGGCCCCTGGTTCAGAATTCCCCTTACAGTTCACTTCCTTTTCACCACCTGTCTCCTCCAGGCCCTTTTTGTCTCCCAGGAGCTTCCAGGTCACATCTCCCTATTGGGAGCAACAACTAGCTGCAAAGCATAACTCTGATTTTATGCCATCGGCTTACTTGGATTCTGTATCTGAACTGCAAAGTCAATCTCAGTTGTTGAGCCTGGAGGAGCAGATGGAGTCTTTAAACTTAGGAAATGGTGGATTTTCAACTGATTATTGTTATTCAGATGCTGCATTGGGTAATCTTGGTGTGAGAACAGGACGTCGGCATCAAAACCTGTCTGAGTTTCCAGTTAAGACTTGTCATTATTTCAACAAAGGTTACTGTAAACATGGAAGTAATTGTAGGTACTTCCATGGCCAAGTCTCGGATAACTTCCCGCATATGTTTGGTCATAATTCAATGGATGCTGTTAATGAAGATCCCGTTATCCCGCTTGAGAAGTTAGAGCTGGAAATTGTAGAGCTCCTGAAATCAAGGAGAGGGGAACCTGTTTCAATTGCATCTCTCCCTTTGTTATATTATGAGAAATACGGTAAAGTTCTTCAGGCAGATGGTTATCTCACTGAGAGCCAGAGGCATGGCAAAGCAGGCTACAGTTTGACAAAGCTTCTTGCTAGATTGAAAAATAGTATTCGAGTAATTGACAGGTATGATTTATGAATTTTGATCTTCTATATAAAAGATTAACCTTGAGGATTCAACTGACCGACTCTTCTGTGATTGAGTCACAGACCTCATGGACAGCATTCAGTCATTTTGGCTGAAGACGCACCCAAGTATATGGAAAATCGAAATGATAGAAGTGATCCGGGTCCAATTGTTAGTGGATCGCGACAGATATATCTTACATTCCCAGCTGAGAGCACTTTTACTGAAGATGATGTCTCCAACTATTTCAGGTAACATGATCTTGAAGCTTTTTGCATGCTTAGTTGCAGTTATATAATCAGTATCCTCAAGGTTTCTTATTTTTCTTGTTCTTAATTGCAGCAATTATGGACAAGTTGAAGATGTAAGGATTCCCTGCCAACAGAAACGGATGTTTGGGTTTGTAACCTTTGTCAGTGCAGATACTGTGAAGATGATTTTGGCCAAAGGAAATCCACATTATGTCTGTGGAGCACGTGTTCTTGTGAAACCTTACAGGGAAAAGTCAAAGCTGGTTGACAGGTATATATAATTATTTCTTATTTTCCATTTCCACATTTGGAAATCCATGAATGGAATGCAGAATATGATAACTCCATTGTTAAATTATGTGGTTTCTTAATCATGTTGCAGTATGGTTTTGTCATAGCTTTGGACTCTCATATTTTCATGGCAGTTATTCCAAAAGTTGGACTTTCTTTTTCTGCTTTCTGAAACATTAATCAGCAAATTCTATAGGCTTTCTAGCTTGTTTTCTTCTTCCTTACTTTCGAGTCTCATGTTAAGTTTTGGTTTTCATGCAGGAAGTACCAGGACAGAATTGAGTCTCCAATGTACTATTCTCCGCACTATATAGACATGGAACCTGAGCTTCATTCAAGTAAGTAGCCTCTTTTTATAGTCTTGTTTGTTAGAATTAAGTTTCTTAAATACATAAAACACATGCTAGCTTGGGCCATCATTCTGGTCTGGCAAAAGCCATCAAGGTTTCTTCGATGGAAACTTAAGGCAGACACTTCAAATAAACTGTATCCTTTATATTTTTGTGATGTTTAATCTTGTCGCATGTAAAATAACTTGTACTCATCTGATGTATGTTTTTCTCAGTTCCAAGAGGATATGCAACGTCTAGGTTGTTCAGGAAGCAGTTTATAGAAGATCCAGAACAAATCTTTGAACTTGAGGGGAGGAGCCCATCAGAGATGCATTTGGCACAGAAGACTCAGGCTCATCAGTCCTACTTTGGCTACTCCATGGATGGGTTAAAAGTCTCAGAAGGTGTCTAACCTTTTCTCTTTTGTGCATATCCTTAACTTTTCTCTCCTCTTTCCTTCTCTCCCTTAAATTTTCTCTCCTCTTTCCTTCTCTCCCTTAAATGCTTTCCTTTTCCACCATGCAGATCAACTCAACTTCCCCTCAACAGAATTCAATTATCTGATGGAAGCTTTCAACACCAGTGCTGCATCTGATGAAAAAATCAAGCGCATAGAGACCAACACTGACCAGGAGAGGTAACTCATATTGTATAACCTGAAACTACAGATTTTCTTCCTCTTATCCAACTTGGGCTCTAATGATTGTTTCTGATGTTCATGTATTCTGCAGTGAAGGACTTAATCTCCCAGATAGCCCTTTTGCTTCTCCTATAGCTAGTGGCATTTCCACAGTCATTTAGGCTCAGCAACACACAGAATAGAGTTAGTACCGGCTCAAAGATTGACATGGCCAAAACTTATACATAAAAGAATCCCATTTTAGGTTCTTTGTTCTTCCCCTGCTTGTTTGTTAATCAAAGTATCCTGAAAGTACATACTATCAAAGAAATCGTGTACGAAGGATCTCCCCTTTGTTACTTGATTTTGAAGTGGCAAAGCAAGAAGATAATGATACATAGAAGTATATAAGAAGGTTCTACACTTTTTTGATGTTAAATCACAGGAAGAAGGCAAGAGGTATGGATCTTTAGAAGAGGATGTAATATAGGTCTCTTTAGGTGATCAATAGAAATCTCTGTAGCACTGAGCAATAGCATTGAAATAACTTTAACCAAAGGGTAGATCTTTTTAGCAAATTTATACCAAGTTTATCTCTAGTGTCATCCTGTTTCACTTCATACATAATATCATCTTCATCTATATCAGATCTGTTGGTATCAAACATCGCAGTTTTTACCTTAGTTTGATTACTGATAATTGTCACAGAGGACTTGATCTTTCAATCTCAAGAAGTATACTGCTTCTTTCCAAGCAGATAAACAAGTTTCGTCCTATCTATTGTTGCCGGCTTTTAATGCCTAAGAATATGCAACCACCGTTGATGGCTAAAGATGAGAAGGGAACTGTGCATTGATGCTCTCAACAACTTAAAATAAATTCATCCTTTCCCTCTCAAATTTTTCTTGTGACTTTCAAATTGGCTTTTACTGTTTCCAAGCTTGTCATTGGAGGGAAGAAACTTACAAAATTTGACTAGGTTTTGCAATGGCCGAGGGAGTCAACTGACTCTCCCTAGGAGACGGAGAAATCATGGAACATTGTGTTCCTATGCCAGCTCCTCAGCGATCCGACAGACAACTTTATTTGTCACCAAACCAACCCACATGGCATCCACATATTCAACCCCTTTTCGATCATTCATGCACGACACGTGTTATCTTAACATATGGTTAACAAGATCCTGCAAGCATGTCACAGACAAAAATGAACAACGGTATCCCGGAAGTAAGGATAGGATTTCAGAAAATGGGTTTCAATCCAATTTCTGACACCTCTCAGAATTGCAGTTTCTGTTTATAAGTGACTCCCAGGGAAGATACATCAAAGGGTTTCTCTTGCATCTTTATATATGTGGTGTGTGCACATGTTATATGTCACGGAATCATTAATTTTTTTAAAATAATTTAATTTAATAAAATATATAATACTCACATTTATAAGTTTTTTAAACTTTTTATTTGATCGATGTGAGATTGAAATACATTATCTACTTGTGTGATATTTTTTCTATTTAATTTGGTGACATTCTTGTCACCTCATTCAATCTAATGGTATTTTCATCACAGTCAATCACTTTGCTTGTCTCTTTTTTTAAAATGCTTGATACGAGTTAAGTTTAAATCGAGTTAATTTTAATATCATTTTATCATGAGATCATTTTTTCTTTTTAAATTTCTGTGACATTTTTTTCATTCAATTCGGTGATGTTTTCGTCACAATCAACTACTTTATCTATCTTTTTTAAAAATATTTGAAATGAATCAAATCTATATCAAGTTCATTCTAATATCACTTTATCACGAAATTATTATTTTTTTAAAAAAAATTAACTTAATAAAATATGTAACGCTCATAATTATAACATTTTAAAATCTCTTTACCTACTCAACGTGAGAGATTGAAATATATTACCTAATTTTGAAGCATTAAGCGTGACATTGCGCATGTAGTTTGTTGATTCCATCTTTGGGATGGAAAAGCAGTTTCCAGGCTGACTTACACCACTTTGGGTGTGTGAGGGGTGTCAAAGACCGCAAGACAAGGTGCTTAAGCTGTCAGCCCGTGACAAGTGCTGAGATTTGCCATAAACATAGATTAACTTGGTAAAAAGATGGAGAGCAACAGGTTCTGAAAAGACAAACCAGCATTGTTGAGGTTGTCTCATTCACCATCTTCTTCTGTCTAGCAGAACAATTTTGTGAGGTTGACACCCCCATTTGGTGGGTCCTTGTAATAATATTTCCTAACCCAAACTGGACTTAGATGAATACATCTACAAATCTGTGTCTAGAAACAGGATTTAACTCCGCAATTCACGCGAAAATAATTACCTCTAAACAAAGCTGGTGAGAAAGACTTTACAACCAAAGGCATTGCTCATACTTCAGCACTCTGCAGGTCCCATCAACCATCAATCCATTAACGGATGTGGTTGACATGATCTCTTATCCACTTGACATTCTAACTATATCTAAATGTGATTATCTTTCTTCTTATGTTAGAGAGAAAGCAAGACCATACCCTGATTTCTAATCAATATTTTCTACCACCATTCTTGAGAAGATAATTCATCTACAGTTAGTTATAATAACCATTTCTTGGTTTGGTTTCTGCAAAAAAATGGAGGAAAGAAACTGAAAGGTAAGAACAAAACAGTTGTATGAACTTGCAGTGTACTTGAACTAATGAACCACTTTCCAAATCCAACCTAGTCAACCCACATCAGGCTGAAATACATAAAGGGGACTGATTCAACGGTACATGTTACAAAGAAGCAAGAAGAGAGAATGAAATCTTAAAACATGTCAGTCGGAAAAAATGATTGATACGTATGTTTTACAGGATGCTGACGCTATTACCTCATTCACTCATACCATCACAGTGGAATGCGGGGATAGATGTTTGCAATAAGATGAGCAGAGGGGGGGAGAGGTGAGGAAATGGCTAGTGTACCATTATCATTCATAAAATGTAATAGAAAGTAAAAAGGAAAATCTGAAGAAGTATCAATTGTATAACTGCAACTTGTCCTCTTGATTACAGTCAGGATGTCAACCTGCATTAATACCAACATATCATGAAAAAGCATTAACTGATAGCCAAAAGTGTACAAAGGATAGTATGACAGACAAAATAACATATCCATTATGATTTCAGCATACCATAAGAATTACTGCTTACAAGAATTTACACTACCAGATAATGGAGGAATAAACACATTGCTTATAGGTATATCTAGAATAAAAGACAATTCAACGCATGAGGATGAAGGCATCATAATTTTACTGAGAAGAATTCCATGCATGGGGAGTTTCTAAATGGTGTACAAATTATGGCTAGTTCTGTTAAGGCAAACTACGCATGCTATATACTTGAATTCTCTTTCTATTTGACAGAATCAATAGTGTTGGATTGTTTCTATTTTATAAGTAACTGACCTTAAATTTACAGGGTTCTCCTCGAGGTCACTTTCATTTTCAGTCACCAGAAGTTAGTAAAGTACTCTCATCTACATGCCTTGGACTGAGAGTTTTATCGTCATATGCCTATGCAACACTGAAGCAACTGCTGCAGAGATTTTACAATGTAAACTCTGTCACAAACCATGCTAGACAAGCTAATCAATCAATTTAAAGTTACCGGGATACCAGATCTAGCTTACCAAAGGCTTGTTGAACTTATAAACTGAATTTCACTTCAAAACCTCCTGAATAATTTCACTTCAAAACCTCCTGAAGAATTTCAGGAAAAACTAGCATATTAGACTTCTTGAACCATATGATGAGACCAATCCGTTGCTCTGATTCCCATGTTAGTGAAGTAGACAGAATTTCAGGTCAACCTTGCGTTCAGATTTCCCGCAAACCCCTTCAGCAGCAACCAAGGCTTATGGCTTTTGTAGTCAGAGCATCATTCCAAAACCTCTTGAGTAGTTTCAGAGAACTAGGATATTAGATTGCTTAAAGTTGATTAGAGACCAATCTGCTACAGGAATTCCGTACTAGTAAAGGAAGCTTTAAGGCATGTTATCAATGCTTTTCATATTTCTTTGCGAACTCCTTGAGTAGCAACCTCTGACGAAATGCCAAATATTTATCTAAACTAGTTCCGGCCCACTGCTGGCAAAAGCATTCATCAGTTGGAACCAATGAACCAAGAGGAAATGGCCCCTTTGGAGCCTTCTTTAGGGAAACCAAGAACTGGTGGCGGGGTCGAATTCTCTGATCCAATGATAAGCTCAAGTACATGGGATATTTAGTCAAGGAGTGCACCTCATTATTAAGTTCATTGACCAAGTACATGTATTTAGGCTTTAGATTGTCCTCCAGAGACAGAGATAACACCTACAGACAAATTCAAGATGTTAGAGAAAAAAGAATTTTCTGTGTTTTCATGCACTTACAAAAAAATGAACTAACCTGTGTAAGACTAGTCAAGACTTTTAAGATATCAGAATTATGCATCCCAATGCTTCTTAGGAAATTTATCCTGGGCAATAATCCGCCATCAATGCTGTAATGAAGAAGCTGGGGATGTTTTCTTACCATCTTCACAATACTATCTCTGGGTGCTCCTAACTCCTTTGAGAGAAACATATAGCGAGTATTCCATGATATGTCAATCCGCTGAACTAGAATCTGAGGGCTCAGCTGCACAACTTTACCTAAATCATTTTCTTTAATACCAACCTCCTCAATCAAGTATCTTACTGTGGGTTTTAATGAATTCTCAACACTATATGAAAACAGAGAAGGTGCAGAAGCAATTATCCGCCCTATTCGGGGATTTGGAACCCCCAGACCTATTAAAAAAGCCACATGGGACTTCAAGTTGTTCTCCACTGTGTATTCTAGAATCTGTGGTTGTCTCAAAAGTATTCTTCTAATGTCTCCCTGCTTCACACCAACACTCAACAAGTAGTCCAACCTTTCCCGAGCAGAACACACATTGATTTGAAGAGAAGGCATGTGTCTCTCATACATTTGGATAAAATGTGATTCTTTAAGCCCAAATGTACTTAGGTAATCGAGAAGAGGGAACCATTTTTCATCCAAATCAATTTCATCTGCCAGCCATTGATATCTGTTTTCTCGAGATGTCTTCGACACCAGCTGCAATGAAAGAAAACATATAAAGCTCCTTTTACACCATTGGTACAAGTAATAGCAAACTTTGACAGGTTTTCTTACCTTTCCTCCTCCACTTTTACCAAAGGAACCAACTTCCTTCATTTGGTTAGAAGGATGATAAAAATTTCGTACACTGCTCTTCTTCAGAACATTATTACCTTTTCTGACATCGATTCTGTCTTCAGCAACGACAAGACCGTGTCTCAATTTCAATCCTTTTGACCCATGGTGTTGTTCATGCGGTCTTTGGTTTCCTACATGAATAAATGAATCTTCTTTGTTAAACTCCTCTAAAGACTGTCAAATGTTGTGACAAGCTCGCAAGCATACCTTCTTTACTGCTTCCCTTCTGTGATTTAAATTTCTTGCCATTAACATTGAATGCATGAGTTTCAGCAAAGTCATCCTGAAATGCAAATATCCATAGTTACAACCCGAAAACATAAGCTCAATTGTTCAACTACTAAAATCAAAGCAAAAAAGGCTTGCTAGTCAACAATTATCTTAACATCAAGGTACATACAGTAAAAAGAAACTGATGGGTCATTTTCTACAATCCTAAAAAGCTCATACCATATAGCAAATCACTCGTTTTTATTACAAAGATCGCATCTTGAACAACCAATTGCACTTCTTTCTAACTATAGCTTCTACCCAAATATATTATTTTCAGCAATTAAACATATAAGCAAGAAAGCGTGACTGTAGAGTAAACTTACATTCATCAACCAATCATCTCCTTGCATATCATCGTCTTCATCAAATTCTTCATCTTCTTCCCCCTCCTCCTCCTCCTCAGTATCATAAGGATTAACCGTTTGACCGTACCTCGACTTCTTATTAGACTTGAGAATTTTGGGATTAGAGTGAGTTGACAATAGCGCCAAGAACTTCCCTCTCTTGAGGCTTTCTCCACTGCTCAAAGCAAAACCCGAATTCAAAGAAGAAGAGGGAGAGGGAGAAGGAGAAGGAGAAGGAGAGAAGAGAATTGAACAGAAATGATTGAAATTGTGAAGAGACAAAGCTGCCATTTTTAGGATAAAGAGAAAGAAAAGAACACACTGAAAAACCCCAGAAAAGAGAAGGGAGTATATACTGGAAAAACTTTATCTGGTAGCTATGGCTGTCGATGAGAGCTGAGGTTTTACTGGGGTTTTTAGTCAGACGAGATTTTTTTTTGTTCTAAACGCTCAAGAGTGCTGTCGTTTTATGTGGTTAGAAACTTGGCGCGGACGTGGCCCAACTAAAACTGGTCGTTACGATTTTCCTTCCTGCTTTAACAACCAGACGCTGAAAATGAATCCTATCACTCCGCCATGGAAGCTTCACTTTGCGCTTCTTATTCACTCAAGCTACCCCCTATCTCAACACCCACAGTCACAAAGTATCCAAATCCGACAGTCAAGTTCAATTGCAACAGAACATGCAAAACTTTGACAGGAAAGAATCAACGGCTGATGACAATCAACGTTCCTGCTGCTTCCATTCATGATGTTTCAGCCGTAGCTGGTCCTGCCCGTGTCGATATTACATGGCAAATTGTTGTTGGAGCTATAGGTTAGCTTATGTCTACCTATGTTGAATGATGTTAGTTTACTACTGTTTAATGTAATGTTTGTTGTTTACTGTTTTTGCAGCTGGGGTTACCCCTTTCATTGTTGCAGGCATTGAATTCAGCAAAAGAATTGTTAGTGAAACAATTTTAAGCAATCTTTATTTGACTAATAACAAGTTTGAAACTTATGAAGTATACTGTTTAGTGTATGTATGTATGATTTATGTAAGTCATAAATGCTTTGGAAGTTTTTGTCTGTCTGTGCAGGCATGTGATTTGATTTTTTGTTTTCGTTGATTTTATTGATCGTAGATTGCACAAAGAAGATGTGAAGAATGTGGGGGCTTAGGGCTTGTTTTCAGGGACAACGATTATTTCAAATGCCCTGGATGTGGTATGCCTTCTTAATTAGCTATTTTAATTGCTTTGTTGGTGTTGGAAAGCTATCCTGTCAACTGATTTATCAATCTTTGTGCCTAATTCTATTCTCTGCTGGCAGGTGGGTTTCTTCCATGGCAGTCATGGAAAAGATTCTTCACTGGTTAAAGCTCCTTTGAATTCATCTCTCAGTGTCACAAGATTACCAATAGGTAATAGTTCAGTTTCAGGTATATAGTTTCAGTGTAGAATCTGTGTATAAAGAGGTTGAAAACTTGAAAGCCAAGTGATTTCAACTGGTACGAGGAGGAAAAGCTGTAAAAACACTCCTGCATATCGACTCTTGTAAGATACATGATTTCTGGATAATGTGCTTCAGTTTTAAAGTGTAGCTGGCTAGCAGCAAGAGGAGAATTACTTTCTCTTTGCATTATCTGATACTTGCTAAACATAGCTTCGGAATGAACCAAATCAATAATCTGGTTTCCGGCAGACATGTTTCTTTTCAGCCGTTTAGCTAACAACTAAATAGATGGTTTTGGATTCAATTGGTTAACAAAACAGAGTGCCTGGATTGTTATCTCTGGTCCAGTTCTTCCAGGTCGAAATTCGAGTGCCATAATTTGATCAGAATTCTCATGTTCTGGAAGCTTCAACATCAGCAATTTGTGTATGTACTGATAAGTAGAATGAATCAGATTACTCCAGTTTCAAAAGAATTAAATTTAGATTCAGATGTGCATACTTGAACTCAAATCTGCAGACAATAAGAAATGAGGAGAAATGTTTCATCAGAGAATTTAAACATATAGTTTGATTGAAAACAACCACTTCACCTTTACCATCTCAGTAATTTGAAGAATCCTGAGATATCTTCCAATGCCTAATTTTAGAAAAGTGAAGACCCCCCAGTCTAGTCCATGTTCAAAGTTTTCTGGTCTTCCTGTTCTTCCATATTCTGCCAGTCTCCTTCCATGCATATCATATATATCACAACAATGACTGCAACAATGCTTACCCTGGCCCCTTTGAATCTGTCATCCCTTTTTTCCCTGTTGAATCATGCACATTTAACCTTCTCTAGAGCTCATGTCTTGACTCTGAAAATATATATCCCTGTCACTATCTTTTTCCAGTGCAAGCATTCTAGGCCAGTTCCATAGCATGTTTCACCATATTCACTGTACCGCCAACTCTCTTATCTCTTTTTCCGAGGAAATATATAATTCCGACAGACCTGATAATTTTGCACACGTCATTCTACACGTAAACCACCCATTATAATGATTTAACAAAATTCCTTTCCAAGTTCACTTAGTTAGGTTGCATTTATTAGTCAACTTCCTCATATGGTTAAATGCATGACTTTGAACCCAAAGAAATCAACACCAAAGACCAAACTTTTGCTTAATCCTCTTTGGTTTTTTATTGGCACCAAAAGTCTTGTAAAATGATTCCCTTTGAAAATCAATCACCCTTAAGGAAGAATCCAAGTAGACTTTGCTAGAAGGATGCTGGTTTTTTGGGCTATCTGTCTAGGTGTAGACAGTGCAGAAAGGTTTGACCTGCTATGTATATAAATATTTTGATGTAACCATATGAAAAATGATTTCCTCTATAAATTTGTTTGGCTGAATATATTTTGATTTGGACATGAAAATTCCTTCTCATAATAAAGGTTTGAAGATTGCAGAATTGACTTTTGGGTACAAGGACCATGCTGCTTGATGGCTGGATTTTGGAGCTATGGCTTCAAATTAGAAGACTTTTTATCTTAACATTACGTGAACACCTACGTATGTCTTTTATTATACTTAAATAAATTTTTAAATTTTAATTTATTTTTAAATAAATTCTTAATTTTAATAACAACTTTGACCATCTTGATATTTTATACCTACGTAATATATGATTTAATTAAACTATCGTAATTAATTGATCAAATATCACGTGATGTAAATATAAATCATAATATTTTGATAACAACATATAAATAAATTAAAATTATTGCATCAATGTGACATAAAGCTGATGAAAATCCTCACCACACATCGAATACCATATATATTAAACAATCATATCTGACTAGCAGGGGCAAACACTGAGCAAATTTGAAAGGAGTTCAACAAGGTTTGCTTACTGATGCAGCCTTTCCAAAAAGCTTCCTGTTTTTTGGACATTGACATAACAAAAGAGCCCAATTTTGCAAAGACTACTACTCATCAGGACAAAGGAGGGAAAGACAGAATTTAGTTAAAACAGGTTTGGAAACACAACACAACGCGGCTTATCTTTGGAGGTCGGCAAAGGAAAAAAACATGGGGTTACATCGAGAAGTCAACCTTCCTAGTGTGTTTTCATGTCTGATGCGTACTACAAACAATTTGGTTCTCAGCATAGAAGAACAACGCAGCACTTCATTTGATAGCATAGAAAACCAACTGACAACACACCTCGCTATTATTCTATGTAGAGGTTAAAGCTTTAGGTTAGTTTTTATGTTAGTTGTGGAGTTAGTATAGTGTTGCACTCTTGCTTTTAATTAAGATTCCAAAAGGATTTAAGAAGCAAGGAGAGGTAGGTTATGTAATAATTCTCCCATGCTCTAGATTCCCTTCTGCATCTGTGCAGAAGTAGTCAAAGGCAGCTTATCCTTTCGGACGTCACATGGAAATTTGGGTTGGATTCTAAAATGGGGTTTGCCTTAAAAAAATTATGAACCTGTTACCTGATGAGATTATAGGGTATGGCTGCTTGCCATTGTTTGACTTCTTAAATTATGATGCAAATTTCTTGTTATTGTCCCTCACATGGTAGCATGCAAGTTAAGATTGATAATGTAAGAAGGTACGCTGTACACTTTAAGCATATGACAATTTGTTGGAGACCGGAGAGGAAGGCGAGGAGAAACCTCTCTCTTCTTCGTTACAGTGGGCTTAAACCGTGTGGGGCCTTTTTCTTGCATGCTGGAAGGGGCCATCCTAACCTTTTTTTACCGAAAAACAAGTCCTGTTTCTACTTTTTTTTCATCAGTCAACTTTCCAAAAAGTGTCTCCTGAGAGAACAATGAGACTGAAATACCCTGGTCCCCATTCCAGCTAAAATGTTTCTTCATTGGCCATCCTGAGTTTTTTGACAGTTAACTTGAATTACTTTAAAAGACTTCAAAGACTATGAAACGAGTAACATCTGCACAGAAAACTGATACATGCATGGAATTTTCTGTGTATGCATTCATCAATTTTTTTGTGTAAGGGGAGGTGGAACACATGGTAATAGCATCAAACTGCCTCATACCATCTCATTGTCGTTACATAAGAAAAGTAAGAACTGGTTTAAAATCCTTGAAATGTGTATCATGAAATGCATGATAATCAATGTAATCATTTGTATTCATGAATGATTAGTGGTGTAATCTAATGGCACATGTTTTTAAATTGTTTTCTTTGTAGATATGGTAGCTCTCTTGGTATATTTCACATAATTTATTGATTTATTATAGACAAAATAATCTAGCATTGAATATGGTGATGTTAGCTACAAGGCCTTAGGTCTCTGCTAGACGTACGATACATGGTAACATATGACTCATACCTAAAAGAAGAAAATTGTAGAAGACTTTGACATTGTCAAATATATGTTCATGATTTGACTACAATTTGAAGACTCTATGCTAATATTCCAATAGAAAAGAATAGCTTTTTCAAATATATACTTAATTAAATGTTGATTATCTCACATAATCAAACAAAGAGATAAGGCTAATGGGTCATAATATTTTATTATACCACAACAGTTTATGGTGTAATAATATATGCTTGGTGCAGACTTTTATTGGTTGAGAGGGTCTTTTGGTCTTTTTAAATATTACAAAATTGGAGGTACAGGTACATCACGCAAAGAAAAAGACAATGAGATTGAATCTGAAGATGCTTGGATGACATTTGATCCATGTCATAGGTAAGGATCACATTACTTTCTGTCAATTTGTCAGTGGCAGTCATGTAATTTTCATAATGGAGGATGTCATTTGTTGACAAAGCTTTGTTATAAAGTGGAGGTTGATACACCTTGCAGGCTGCGGTCATGTTCTTGCAGTTCTAGATTCTCCTGAAAAATCTTTGAAAGCCAAAACTGAGCACCAAAAAATCTGAGGTTGGAAGGGGGAATCCAAGGAGGTATGGGAAAAAGAAATTCATAGTTGTGTTTTAGATTGAAACTGACAAGGGTCTTTGCTATATTCATTCACATGTTGGAAGTTCTTTTGGTGATTTTGTTTTATAATTTGTTGGCTTTGTTCTGGGAGTTTTTGGCTTCTTCTATATGATGAAAATGATGCGTTTCAGGTCACCAATGAGTTTTTTTTTTTTTTCAGCTGAATTTTCCTGCCAAGTTCCTGTCTTTTTTGGGCTTATATATAGTATGTGATAATGTGTTGGTGAAGGTATAACCTTTATGCTCAGGCTTATTAGAAACGATTTGAAAGCAATTGGCTTTTCTTCTTTCATCCCTGCTCTCATTTGTTTTATAAAAGATTTGATCATGGCTCTACAGAATCATGTCTGAGCTTGTCCCTGAAATCTCTCCCTCCCTCTCAGTAAAATGTAAAGTGAAAGAAATTCTATAGCTTGATCCTATCTAATAAATCTCTGCTTGCTTTGTCTTTTATTGCAGCAAAATTTGTTGTTAGGAATATCAGAAAAAGGTTTTCTTTTCTTCTTTATGTTCATTGTTTCCATCATCTATTCAAAAGGCAATAAGGTTTGCATCCCTATGTTAGCAGAGAACTGGTCGAAAACGGGTTCTGCAAAACTTTTACAGGCCTAGCTTGGTCGCATCTATGATGATTTCTGTCTTTCAATGAATAAACTGCTTGTTTCATTAAAGCTCCTATGTTAAGCTATTTTTTCTGTTTAAATGCTTACTGATACTGCGTCTTCGTGCTATTTTAATGGCAAGAGCACACGTCTCGGCAAAATACATGTTAAGGAAACATATTATGTTTAATGCTAAAGCATATTTTATGGAAAGATTTTCTGTGGTTTGAACTCAAAGTGGATACTATTATCATTTATAGCCTTTACTAGTTTGGTGGAAGATTTTATGTATATGGCACTTTGCCTACCCTGCCTACCCCATAAGTTACCTATCTTGCAATCATAAAATCTTCCGCACTAACTATGTTAGGTTTTGGCTGCTTAAAAGCTAAAGTGCTTTTGTCATTAAAGCAATGTCTTTGTTCATCTTGTTAAGCTTTTCAACTATGTTCTATATTTACTCTAGGACAGAGAACTTTTACTGTTGTCCATCTTAATCATGGCATGCGTGCCAGATTATTAGCGCATTTAGGGTCTTCCAGGTTGTGTGGTGATGTACTCGATGGTTGTCATCGCCATTGATCAGATTCTTTTAGGAAGATTCAATATGCTTTCGATGTTCCTTCCCATTTACTTTTTCATTTTTTGCCGCTTTTCCCTTTTTTCTTGTCTCATGTTGCAAAACAACCATTGATGCTTTTACAAGCCTTTCCACATTTACCATGAACAGAAGTATAAAGGAGGTGAAAAAAGGCATGTGAAATAAAAAGAGAGGATGTGGTGGAGTAGGAACTATAGAGGTCTGGGCTGTGAATTGTTTCCATGACACCCTACCCTATTACCTCAGTGATCTATGATTCTGCTGATATAAATGAAAAGATGGCATGTTTTAGATAAATTATTATCTGCTTTTCCATCATAAAATTCACCTTAAATTTCTGTCAAACCTGCTATGCAGAATACATCATCTCATTGATATGTCATCCATACCAAGCAGCAGGGTTCTGGAAAATGGCAGGATGATGTAACTTATTCATGACAAAGGAGCTGTCAGTTGAATTCTAAGGCATTTTATCAGAAAAGGTTTCCAGTGTTTCTATCTGCTGTTGTGTGTCAATTGGTAGCATTAAATCAGAGAAATTTGTCCAATGCAAACGTCTGAGAAACATAAAATTTCTGGTAAGTACTTTGACCAGCCAGTGCAAGAGCTGGAGTCCCATTGTTGGCCTCCCAACCAGAGTTTGGATCACTACCAGTCATGCTCTGATGATGGCGGCAATGGTCTGCAATATTCAGTTCAAAATTTGGAACAGTACTGCACCCTTGAATCATCATCTGGTATGCAGAACTCTTCTTCTACAGCCAGTTTCTCACCCAATGGAAGTCCTGTTTCACAGCCTAACTCGCAGTCTTACCCGTCGGACCTGCATCATTCCCCAGATAATGCATGTAGTTCTCCAGTAAGTGGTTCTTGTGTAACAGACAATGAGCATGACTTGAAGCACATGATAAGACAATTGGAAACTGCTATGCTAGGAACTGATTCAGATAATTTTGACATTTATGCTATCAACACTTCTGGTGGAGCCACTCAAATCTCCATAGAAGAAGAGAGGTGGAAGTACATGATGGAGATGATTGCCAGAGGGGACCTCAAAGAACTGCTTTGTGCTTGTGCCAAAGCTATAGACAATAATGATATGCATATGGCTGACTGGTTGATGACACAATTACGCCAAATGGTGTCAGTTTCAGGTGAACCAATACAACGTTTAGGAGCCTACATGTTGGAAGGGCTTGTTGCAAGGTTGGCCTCTTCAGGAAGTTCTATCTACAAAGCCCTAAGATGCAAAGAGCCTGCTAGTGCTGAATTGCTTTCATACATGCACATACTCTATGAAGTCTGTCCATACTTCAAGTTTGGGTATATGTCAGCAAATGGGGCAATTGCTGAAGCCATGAAAGACGAAAGCAGAGTGCATATAATTGACTTTCAGATTGCACAAGGAAGCCAATGGTTGACCCTAATCCATGCCCTCTCTGCTCGGCCTGGAGGACCTCCAAGCATTCGTATTACAGGCATTGATGATCCTACATCAGCTTATGCCAGAGGAGGAGGACTTGAAATAGTGGGGCAGAGACTACGCAAGCTTGCTGAGTCATGTAAGGTACCCTTTGAGTTCCATTCTGCTGCTATTTCTGGTACTGAGGTTCAACTTGAAAACCTTGGAATTCAACCTGGTGAAGCTATTGCTGTAAATTTTGCCATGACACTGCACCATATGCCGGATGAAAGTGTGGGCACTCAAAATCATCGGGACAGGCTGTTGAGGTTGGCAAAGAGTTTGTCTCCAAAGGTGGTGACTCTTGTTGAGCAAGAAGCCAATACCAATACTGCCCCATTCTTTCCCAGATTCTATGAAACGATGAATCATTATTTGGCAATCTTTGAATCAATTGATGTTACTCTGCCAAGGGAACACAAGGAGCGGATAAATGTTGAACAACACTGTCTGGCCCGGGAGATTGTCAACATTATAGCTTGTGAGGGGCCTGAGAGAGTAGAACGCCATGAGCTTTTGGGCAAGTGGAGATCGAGGTTTATCATGGCTGGCTTTACACCCAGTCCATTAAGCTCATTTGTCAATGCTACCATAAAAACTCTGCTGCAAAGCTACTGTGACAAATATACACTTGAAGAGAAAGATGGAGTTCTTTATCTTGGCTGGATGAATCGAGCTATAATCGCTTCTTGCGCATGGAGGTGCTAACCAAACAGCATTTTGTTGTTATTATTGTGTCAACCAAATAGAACCTTTATCTGAAATACGTTACGTTTCCTTTCTTTTTGGCATACATGACAGATAACTATGAAAATCAGCCCTTTATTTGATAAGAATATCCGTCCAGGGATGCAATGAGCAATTTGTACAACTGAAAGTGATTAATACTAGTTGTTAACTGTTTTTGTTGCAGCCTGTCTTGCATACGCGTTTTCACACATAATTATTCTTCAATTTTAGTTTGTAGTATGCTTTTTGTGGGAATGAAAGATGGGGTGCTGGCCCCTTTGGGTCAATTAGGCAGAAAATGTTCACATTTCAGTTGAAAACTATGACAAAACAGGGAAGTACAGCACAAGGGTTTTGTACAATCAAATATTCCAAGTTGGACTGTGGCCCTTCACGTCCAATCGAATCACACTCTTCATATACACCATCAATGGTATTGGAAATCCTCCCAGCGATCACCCTGCAAACTATCACAGCCCTCTTCAAGTTCTTCAGCTTGAAAGAAGCCATGCTGTCACTCACCTCCTCACTGCTTGTACTCAATCTAATCCCATTGTTCCTGGTGAATTCCATGTCGAATCTAGAATGGATTATCCTGCAGGCTCGACAACTGGGATCTTTACAAAGCTCAGACACTTGCTTCAGCTTCCTGCAGCAGCAGGCCATTGTGGTGCCATAGAACAGTAACAGCTCATTGCCATCCACCACGCTTCTTGGATGTCTCTTGTGTTGCTCGTAGGCTTTTCTCATAACCTTTTCTCTGTACTCCTCAAACCTTTCCAGAGCATCCATTGAGTTCTTCACTCTTAGCACCCTTTTGATCTTCCATGGTGGCTTTGAGGGGTCCACTGATGCTCTTTTAAATATCAACTCAATGATGTTTCTTGATGGATCACCAATGTTGAGCTCTGTTAAAAACATACCAGGATAAAATAGGATTAGCTTCAATTGCATGCAGAAATATACAAAATCCCATGACATGGGACAAATCAATTGGACCATAGCCTACATACATGATGGTGACTGGTTGGTAAGCTTTAAGGAAGTATTTTTCATTTTCCCTTTTTCAAGTCTTAACTTGAAATTATTCCTGACACAAAAATTAGGAATCATTTTTATCGTATTGTACACCAAGGGGTCCATCTTGCCTTTATTTTTAGCCATAAATTACTAGAATACAAAATTCATAATATTTCTTTAACTTTTCCATATTTGTTTTTCCCTATTTCTTTGACAGTAACTGCAAGCAATTAGAGTCTGTCATTTCTGCTACACAAGATTTACCACATTATCATTATAATCCCGGTTCTTTTGATATCTGAACTGCAGGCAGGAGAGTTGTAGAGGAACTGAGGTACTGAAAAAAGATTATATCTTGACTATGGAAAACTGACTCTTTCTCTTTACAACAGTTAAAAAGTTACAAACTAACCATTTCCATTAAGCTTTGGTGAAACTCTTACACCTACTATGAACTTTTCACGATAGCAGACAAACCTTTGAAGACTTAAACTAAAGATTGGAAACCTTAGCAAGAACATATGTTTGAAGAAAATGTGGCACAAATACTTACCATAAAACTGTGTTTTAGGATAGTTTGGCCTGAAAAGGGCTTCGTGAAATGGATTTCGAAGTTGATGAACAAGCTCCTTCTGCAAGCTCTCATGTCTAGAATCACACGCCTTTCGCCTACAGTAGTTTTCTGCCCGGCCAACCACATCAGTCAGCTTGCTTACACAGTTAACATTCTCCTTCAAAGACACCCAAGCTGCCTGCATTTCTCTCTTTAGTCTTTCCCTGACTTGGATTTCTTTCCAAGTTGTGAACTTAACAGGGAAGGGAGAGACACTTTTGAAACTTGACAGAATGCAGTGTCTTGCAGAATCCTACAATGGCAAAGTTATAGCATATGACGATGGTATGTTATCATTGTCAATGACAAAACTATAGCTTTCAGTTCTAAATTTGTCCTGAGATGGTAAAATTTTGTAGGTTCGAGTGGAGATATGGGCCACAACGTGGCTGAATACTTCCACAATCCCTGCCAAAGCAAAGACAAACTGGTGAATTCAAAGGGTTTTGGATTCTACCAACAGTGCATTTATAATGTCTACCCTACTCAAAATTAGAACCCAAATGTTGCATAACCTTCTGGATTTACTACAAGCCAACGGTGGGAAAGAAACATGAGTTTCATTCTTCAACAAATCCTTTCCTGATACTGATTTAGGTAGGTTTTCACCACTCTTTATCCCGATAATGAAAGGCAAGCAATAACTAGAAACATCTGTTCAGTCCAAAATAGACCTATCCCTTTGGCCAAGCTACCAACTTACTGACTTGAATTTGAATCAGAGCATGAAATTTACCTATGCAAGGAAAAAAAATATATCATTAAGACAAAGATTAACAGATTCCAAGATGTGAGAACTTGACATGTTATTGTTATAAGATGTTCTTTCCTAGATGGTTCACAATTCACATGCACCAATAACCTAATAGCTGCTAATGGATTCCCCAACAAGAGAAATTATAGTTTGTTTTGTCCTTTGTGTTCCAGTAAAGAAAACTAGGGGTGAGCGTCGGTCAGTTTCAGTTTCGAGAGAAATCAAAACTGCCTAAACCGAGCTTTCCTTATGATTGACCAAAACCGACCGGTCATAAGGAGAAACTGGTCAACTGAAACAGACTTTGATTTCGATCGGTTGGCAAGAGATGAACGGTGGCGAAGAGGAAGATGCTGGCACTGGCAGAAGAGTCACTGGAGACAGCAAGCAGCAGAAGGTTTTTAGGACTTCAAAGGGGGCTGTTTTGTAGAGAATGTTAAAATTGGGGAAGGGAAAGACGAAAAGGGGGGGATTAATGAGGGTACAGAGGAAATTTCATTTTATGGATCGGTTTTTCGGTTGGCTCAGGTAGGGAGGAAGTGTCACCGGCGAGCCTACTGACTCCCTTAACCACCAGTTAAAACCGACCGGTTGCTCACTCCAAAAGAAAACAAACTGTCTGCAATTGAATCTCACCCTGGAATCAACAATCAGTACATGCATTAGATTCTTGGCCTTAGATTCTTCACATGTTTGGTCAGTCATTTGGTCATCTCAAGCTCTCAAACAATCCACTAGCAATCATTTTTGTTAGATAATATATGAGAATCATCCATCAAAATCTGAGAGGCACATTATCGGAGAAGCAATGGTCAAGAAAAATACAGGTATACACTGTACTAATCACAAGTTCTCCAAGAAGTTAAAGACAAGATAGAACACATAATTTCTTACAAATTCCATTTCAAGAACTTGGTTTACAACACTTTCCTGTAAGAAAAATAATACTTGTATCAGTCCAACTTTTGTACAAACTCCAAAGTTGATACAAACAGTGATTGGCAGCAGAAGGCAGTTTGTAGTCCAGTTAACAAAATCAGCTCAGATAGTAAAACTAATATATATATGAAGAACAATCCATATTTTTAAAATACAATTCTAACTTCTTTTCTTTTACCAGCCAAAAAGATGGAAAAAAAGAAATCCTGTCCATTGGTTTATTTCTTGTCACCTTCACTGTTACCCGATTTAAGGACCCGTTAGTATTCTTCCCATGCTCTGTGGATATGCATAAGAATGATTTAGGGGTAGAATCTCAACACCACGACCTTCGCTTGGATTTTCTCTAGAGCCATACTGAGTCATGCCACCATTTAAAACACCATAATATGTTGTTATTGGAGCTGCTTGAATTAATTTGAAACTAGAGCCACCAGTCTGTGCTTGGGTTTGCACTAGTTCAGAATGCAATTGCTGATGTTCATTCGAACTGTTTTCGGGAACAGAACTAATCCCAACACCAAGATCAAGGCTAATCGCATCGTTTTCTTCTGATCTAATCCTTGACGGCCCATTAACAGCTACAGGCCCTGCTGTATCATGACTACTGGTCCTTGCGGTAGGTACATCGTGATTGTGTTTTCCCTCATATGTGGTTATAACAGCTTTTGGATCATGAGATGCCCTCTCCACGTGTTTTCTAACAGGGCAACCGGCATTTGTGCACTTATAATAACTCCTACATAAAAAGTTAGCAGAAAATAAAATATTATAAATGTTGTCCTATCTAATTTATGACAAAGCACAAAAGTCCACATGCTTCCAATGGAATTCTATGCCCACCAATAAAATGTTTAAGAAGCTATATGTTGAAACAGATGAGCATATTAAAAAATATGACTTGTCTTTATGACATTCTATAATTATTGATTTAATGATATGTACCTAGGATTAGGATTTCCTCTCACTACTTTTTGCCCATATTTGCGCCATCGATACCCATCATCCAGTATATCGACCTCACTCAGAGTCTGAACAACAACACGTGGTTCCCGGATTGGCTTCACCACAGGAGTGACATCAACCCCACCATCCATTTTCCTGCTCATAGTTTGATAGTATCACTAAGCAAGCGGAGACAACAACAGAGGAAAACACTAAAGCCACTATTGAACAATAACAATACCTTCGCTTTGAGAATGGATCATCATCGTCAACCTCATCTATGTTATCATCATTAGCTGTAACAGGAGATAGATCTGCAGTACTATTTGGCTCAATACTATGAGCCATCTGGCCATACATGCTGGATGACTTGTCTAAAATGGGGAAAAAAAAAAGATTAATTCAAAAGTGAAAAAGCACTCAACATTGAAAACTTAATCTGTAGTTTTTCCCTTACCATCTCTTCCGGTGAAAGATGAGACCTTGTCAGATCTTTCTTCTTGGCCAGGCATGATATTACCAGAAGAATATCGGCGGCTAGGTTGAGGTTTAGGATGATCATGTGTACCTTTGTATATTATCTCTGTAATCTGTCCATCATGAGATCGCTCAAATAGCTTTTTCACTTCACAGTTAGGATGCGTACATTTGTAATAACTGCGTGGAAATTCACTTCCTTTCACATGTTTCTGTCCATATTTTCTCCAGTTGTATCCATCATCAGATGGCACTGATGGGCCACCTGATCTATGATCAGACTGCCCTGCCTGAATCCCGCTATTTGGGTTCCCTATCTGGTTTAATTGGTCTACATCAACTTCAGCAGTAGCACTAGCCATAGAAGTAGCTGTATGAACAGGTACTGAGAGACTCAACTCATTTGAGGAGCCTGCCATCTCACTCTTAACTGAAGATGATGAATTGAATGATATAGTCTGGTATTGACCTTGCATCTGCAGAGATTGTTCACTTCTCTGATGGTTTAAATCTGCAGGAGCCTTGAATAAGCAAAAACCTTTAGATAACTATACCTTTCAAGGAGCAGAATATAATGAACTTAGATAAGGATGTCAGTATTGAATAATTTAGAAAGAGAGAGAAAGAGAGAGTGAGAAGAGAAAACAGGTTGCTAATTTTAGGTGTCCTTATGAGGTCCTCTGGCATGATGCCTCTACCAGTTTCCTAATACATCAGTTGCCTATAGCAGGGTTTATGGCAGAGTCAAATTAAGGCAGAAGAGTATTTGATGAAATCAGGATTCTAGATTATCACCTAATCATATACCTATTGCTATAGTGAAACATAAAACAATTGTCATTAACACTAGCTGCAGGAAGCAACGGAAACAAAAATAAAAAATATTACTTAAATCTCGGTCTCAAAATATTCATTAACGTTTATCAGGAAATTACCATATTTGATCTAGGATGGGGTCTAAACTCAAAGCAGCTAGAATTTCTTTCATCAAAAGCATTAGAACCCACAGCTGCAGCCGAATATGTACTAGAAGCAACAGATGCGTGCACCGCTTGAGGCTTGATGAGAGAACCGGTAGTTGGTGAAGGCTCTGCCTGGAAGAACAAGAAGCAAAACAACAAATTACTCAGTATAGTACTACAAAACTGCTCCACTTCAGTTCACCCACAAGCAAGCAGGTAAACTTCCAGCTACTACTCTCTTCAGCAATTCAGCATAAATACGTACTTAAAGTTCAAACTCATCTAGTGATCTAAGATTAAACAAACTAATTCTAGCAGCTTTTTTAATGCCAAAAAGAACTTAAAATAAAGGGGGGGAAAAGACAAAGATTCCAGAACAAACCAACTAAAGGTGAGTTAAAGCAAAATCCATTCAATAAATATTCATCTACTTCCAGTTAACCCAACGCTTGATGTGGAAAACAAGTTCCGTAAAACCTCCCACTTAACTCCTTATGCTTCACCACCCGTATCTATTTTGCAAATTCAACTCTATGTGATGTCATATTCTTTATCAAATCACAGGCAATTAGGTCTCTGCCCTTCACCTTGACCCAGGTACTTTCTATTTTCCACCAATTCGTTTCATTACCTCCTTGCACCACACACTTAAACAAACATCCATCATTTGATCTAAATCAAACAAATGCCTTTAAAGAAGCATCAATCGTTTTATCCACTCCACCTCACCACCAGCATCTATTCTTTATTCTGCATTACACAAATGGGATAGTTCTCTACTATGTCCTCACCGTTAAAACAAGGACAGAAACCAAAATATAAAAAGCCACAATTCCCACAACCAAAAGGGGAAGATTCATTATGTGAAAAAACAACATTGGCATTATAAAAATAAATCAAAAATATAAAAAGGATTCAATCTAAATTTTCATACTTACAACACATTAACAAAAATTAAAAAGCCTTATTCCTCCTTCCACAATATACAAATCCATGGACACTAAGGAGCCGTATTTCATAATTTATTTAATAATTGCAATAAAAAAAGCATCAGAATCTTTTTTTCTTTAAGGTCCCCAACATCATGAACCACTTCAAATATAAAATCTAAGCATTTTGAACAGGAACCCAAAAAGAGGAAAAAAAAAAGCAACCAAATATAGTAACCCATTAATTTTTTTTCTCTCCTTAAGCATCTATTCAGCTGAAAATTAAATCGAAATTAGCTCATTCACAAACCTAGCCAACCAAATCCTTACAAAAAGAATGGGAAAAGAAAAGGAAAAAATTCCCCACTAAAAGCTACTTTGAAAAAATAAAAATCAAAACTTTAAATCTCACATTGCTCAATTCCTCACTTACACTAAAAAATCTTGGGTTTTTTCTTAAATAAGAAAAGAATTCAATTTTAACAGTAAATTTTCAAAAAGTAGCCAACTTTCCTCTACTTTCTCAGGAAACAAACAGAACCCAAAACCGATCCAACCCCCCAAAAAATAAATATCAACTCTAACCTTAACATCTGAAAGAAGAACAGGAGACTCCAAGAAAGAAGAAGGACTAAGCCCAGGTGGGATCGTAATACAAGCCGACCTTGAGATCGGTAGCTTAGCGGGAGCCACCAGCTTGTACCGAGCTCCACCTGAACCACCTGACCCCGATGGATCACACGTGGCCTGCACGTGTAGAGCAGCAGCAGCAGCAGTAGCAGCTGAAGAAGAAGCTAATATTTGTTCCTCCATTACCATTAACAAAAGAAAAAAAAAGGACCAGACAAGTGAAGAGAAGAGGGTCAAAATGAAGTTGATTCTTGTTCGTCTGTAAGAAAAAGGAGAGATGGGGTATCTTAGTAAATTCAATTGTACTTTTTCCTTTTTTTTCTTTTTTATTTGTTGGTTTTGTTTTAAAATTAAATTAAAAACTTAAAAATTGTTGGAAGTGAGTTTAGTGTGTTGGAGAAGGCTGTCAGAAGAGAGGGACAGAGTTTGACTTGTTACATTGGATCTGGGTCTGGGGGCCGTGTCATAGCCTTGCCTTGTCATTTTTTTTTCCTTTTTTTTTTAATTTAAATTTAATTTTTGGGATTTTTTCCTTTTGTTTCTTTTTTGGATTTTATTTTTGGAAGGTGGTTTAAATCTTCAAAAGGTAACCCATTTTGTCAAGGCAATCATTGTTGTTATCTACAAGGACCATACTTTTTCTTTCTCCACTTCTGTTTTTGTATTTTTCTTTAACAACACCACCCCCACGCCCCCTTCTTCCTCCAAAAAAAGAAAAAAAAAGGAAAAAGGAAACACCTTTGGTTGAGGTTGGGCTTTGATGCATCGACGCTGGCTCAGGGTAAAGTTGGGTTCTTGATTGAGAATTCACCTCTCAAATATCAATGTCCACAATGTATCCTAAATCTTAAGCATTTCTCAATGATTCACACCAGCCATGAATAGTGACCAAGTCAATAATACATGTAACAACAAAAGAATTTACTACTAAATTGGTTCACTTGATTAAAACACCCCAAATTCTAACAAAAATCTAATCCTTCTACCTATTGTCAAGCTCTGTAATTCAATGTAAAAACCTTCTAAAACTAGAGATAATGACAGCACCCTTTAATAATTGGGAAAGAGAAGTTTGAGCTCCCAAACCTCCTTTACCTTTAACAGATAAGTTATGTAATTATTTGTATTAAGCTCTTAGATGGGTCATGACTCACGGGCGAAGACAACTTTTTATAGTCCAAAGTTGAAAGATGAAAATCTATGGGAAGGCACATTTCTTTCTTAACTTTAATTATGTTCTTTGTTTGTATACTACAATAAACATTTGCTATAAACATTATAGAGTTTGCAGAGTTTGTTAGTACACATAATCATGATTATGGGACCAAAGCAAGAGTTTGCAGAGTTTACAGACAATGTCCAAAAAAGGTTTAAAAATGAACATTGTAGTACTAACAAACTTTCTTTCTGCAAAAGGTCATGAAGATCCATGATTGATGCTTGAACATTGTAGAATGAGACAAAGGAATTTGAGTAAAAATATATAATAAATAAAGGTATAGGCTCAGTCTCAAGTCTCTTTGCCTGTGAAACTTTTTGAAATTTAAGCTTTGGGTACTTTCACAAGCAATGCCTTAACAAGGCAGGAACTTAATCCTTTTCGGTAAAAAAGAAAATTTAAAAGCTTAACTAGACAAATACAGCACTCAAACTAATGTCGGCTTTTACTTACTGTTAGCATTAAAGAATGTGTTCGATATAAACAGCAAAGGGAGACAGGCAGCTTCCTGTGTAGCTAGTGTCCTTCCCTTGAAACTGTTTCTGCAAAAGCAAGTTCATAAATGAGCAACCTTGTTAACTGTGTCTGCATCTCAGCGATTTCCATGGAGCAACGGATAAAACAATAATTGATACTAGGGAAAGAGACATGTGAACATGTCACAATCACTATTAACAAACCCTTCCCTCATTCACTCAACATCTTATTGGCTTCCACAGCCTAGAACTACAAAGCCTAGTTTTACCTTTAAACCTCCTGTTGTACAACCCATGATGAGCAAATAAATCGGCCATCAGACATTACCATATATAAGGCCACTCAATAGATTATCATTAAATACCAGTTCTAGAGCAATAAATTCTACAAATCAGCATGGAAGCAAAAATTGTAGTTATCAGAAAAGAGAAGAGAAATGAAAAACACCGACAGGCTGGACAGGCTAACACCCTTGTACAGAATAGCTATTAGACTCAAAAGTGGAAAAAGGAAGAATGTATCTAGGAAGGGGGGGTTGGAAGGAACTAAAGCATGCACATAGTTTGCATTAGGACAATAAATTGAACCCAACAAAGAATTGATTTTCCAACTAAGGTTGTTAATCTTTGTTTTGTTCATAGAAACAAGACAGAGTACTATGTGGCTTCTCATTTCCCACTCCAAGTTGCCTAGGCATGGTAGCTCTAGGTAAGGAAACGGATTCAGCCAATGAAGAGCCCTTTCTCCGTGTGTGCACATGTCACTAATATACAACATAGAATCTAAAGATTAGAATTTGTTTAGAGGAAAATCACCCAAAGCTCATTCCTTTAGTCTTGATTCACAACCCAACTGCTACCAGGTGCTACCTTCACTCCCCTCTCCTTCATCTCCATTCTCATTCTCTGAGCTTCCTCATATCTCCCCACACTAGCATAAATCCTAGCCAACAACACATAATTGGCAGCATTAGACGGCTCCATCTCAAACAAAGCTCTCCCAGCAATCTCAGCCAACTCCACCTCTCCATAAGTTCTACAAGCACCAAGCAAAGCTCCCCAAGTCTTTGCAGTTGGCTTAACAGGCATTTCTTTTATAACTCTATAAGCCTCGTACAACCTCCCTGCTCTGCTCAACGCATCGACCAAACACGAATAATGATCAGCACTCGCTTCTAGTTTATAATCTTTATGCATTCTATCAAAATAGCCCAATGCTTCATCTGCTAGTCCGGCATGGCTACAAGCTTTTAATACCCCAAGAAAAGTAATATCATCAGGCCAAACTTTTGCCAACTCCATTTGCTGAAATACCTCCAATGCAGCCTTTGCCTCACCATGTAAAGCGTGAGCTGATATCAAACTACTCCAAGCAACTACATCTCTTTCTTCCATACATTGGAATACATTTCGCGCGTAAACCAGACACCCACATCGCCCGTAAGCTTCCACCAAACCACTTCTCAGCTGCGGGTGCGGTTCTATGTTACTCCTAAGCGCGTAGCTGTGAATTTCTTTGATCAAACTCAATGCCGCCACGCCAACGCAAGAAGGTAACAGAGCCAGAAGCGTGATCAAATTGGGCCTCAAACCCACTCTCTGAATTCTTCTGTAAAACTCGATAGCCATGAAAGACCCATCTTCCAATTCAGACAAGCCCGCTATGATGGGATTAAACGTGGACTCGTTTGGGCCGACATCCATAGATTGAAACAGATGCAACGCTTCATCGACGCGCCCGCAGCGCGTGCACAGAGAAATCATGGAATTCCAAACAACGACGGTGCGTTGAGGGATTTCATCGAACAATTTGCGGGCTGAAGTGATGGAGAAGCATTTCCCGTACATGTCGACGAGAGCGCAAGCGACGAATGGGTTGAAGAGGAGAGACGACTTGGTGGCGTGGGCGTGAATCGACGACCCCAGTCGGGGACGGCTGATGGCGGCGCATGATTTGAGAACGAGGGGGAAGACGTAAGGGTCGAGAGTGAGAGATGGCGAGGCTTGCATGCGGTGGAAAAGAGAGAGGGCGTCCGCATGGCGGCCTTGGTTCACGTGGGAGGTTAACTGTTTTGTCAGAGACAGTAATCGCAGGTGGTTTGAAGTGTAGGAACTCATGTTTCCATGCCTGAAATGTAGGAGCTTTGTCTGATACAAAAGAATGTTGCTTTTGCGCTAGAAATGGCTGTGCCATGGTACACATAACCTGTTAAATGTTTTGAAGACTCCCTGTCGAAAATCATAACACCATCCGATTCCAGTACACAATCAATCTGAAATTCACGATTTCCATTTAGAAATTCATAATCCCTCTCGAACCACTCTCTAGTTATGATTTAATTTGATATTAATTCAGTTTGTGAGAAAGGATCAGAATTTGGATGAAAAGAATAAGAGTTAATCTCAAAACCCAATGATCCAAATGAAAATATCAAAATTTTAATCTTTGAATGCCTCATTGGCAACTTCCCCTTTCAATATATAGTTAAATTGATTGAAACATTAAGAAAAAAAAAACGTGTAAGGGAAATTAACAGAACAATTTATGGTGGCATCATATTAGCAAATTGAGATCCAGTCTCCCTAAGAAATATTGCAGAAAACTGCATACCTGAAGCATCATGCAAGTGGAAGATAGAAGATTGCATAAAGGAAAAATGTCTAGAACATCGAAAATTATGCCATCTCATAAGAAATCATGATATATTGTAAATCTTCTGGGGAATTAGCAACATGATCAGTAAATAAAATACTATGCAGCCTCCCCCACGTCTACAAAGGTTGGTCATGGTGAATCTAGTTTATGCAATACCATCATCCAGTTATCAAAGAAGCAGGAGTGCTTTCCAGCAGCCTGTGCCTCAATGGGTCCTAGCATCCAAAGACATACCATGGTAACGAAAAAACAGTAACAGCAGCTACTGTGGATGGTAAGATGGATGGTAGTGTGGTGGTAAGCCATATGCACCGTAGGTAGTCAGTCTGTCATAAGGATATAAATGGGAGGCAGCAGGGTTTGGATTCATAGAGAAACCCAGAGGGCCTCCTGCCAAACCATATAACCCCGCTGATGAGCCTACATAAGGAGGAACAGTAGGAGCGGAGCCTGCCAAGCCATAAGGGCCAGCTGGCGAGCCCAAATATGCAGCAGAACGATCAGGCAATAAACCTGCTGGCTGTAGATGTGATTGCTGGAATGGGGGAACAGCTGAACTTCCACCAGCAACACCCAATGGTGCTGCCATAGGAACAGCAGATGCAATTGTTCTAGGACGCTTGTTGCCACTCTGCTGCTGCTTTACCTGTGCCAGCTTCTTCTTCTTTGTCTGCTGCTTGGCCTGCTGCTGCTGCTGCTGAGGCTTGGAAGCAGGAACTGCTGCAGGGCGTTTCCTGTCTGCCTGCAGCTTCTCAAGCTGCTCAATACGCTTCTGAAGGCCCTCCTGGGGACACTCAGTTTCTAGCTTGTGCTCTTGAATTACTTTAATTACAGCTTTCAGGGCACCAATTTCTTTGGCTGTAGCCTCATTCTGCATGAGGAAACATAATTAAATAAAAAGAAAATGAATGTTAAAGTATAATACCCTGAAAATTTTGCAGGAAATGAAAGCTTACCTGTGACTTAAGAGAGTTTTTTCCGTCCTTGCACACTTGCTTAGCAAGCTTTGTTGTCTCCTTCAGATATTCTTTCAAAAGATGGACCGGTGGGAATTTTTCTGCCAGCCCAAACTCAAATATAAATCTCACAGCAAGAAGTTGTTTGCCACTATCTAACAGCTTTTGAATCAGATCTGCAACACATAAGAAAAGCAAGGCAGTTTTCATCAGAAGCTACTCCTAAAACTACAAGATCATTACTGGCAAAAGGGAAACAATTTTAAATCTTGAAAGGGGCAAGAAATTATGTAAATTCTACAGCTTACACATTTCTTAAACAATATGCTACGTTTGCACACATTCATTGATGCAACAAAAAGATCTCCCCATGCTTTTCTTCTTCTTTATCATTCCATGAAACAATATTTTGTTCTTTGGGAAGCTACCATACTCATGTGTTTCAGTTGCTTCTTGTCAGTGAAAACTGAGAAACACATTCTAACGTTAAACATGAGTTTCTTGTTCAAAACAAGTTCTGAAGTTTTACATGCACATAAACAGTTGGAAATAGAGCACAAACGCCAACGGTAAAATCAAATAAATCTAAGTGCGCATAACAAGAATCACATGAACCAAGAAACCAATAGCATCACCATAAATCATATCCCTTAAACAGCTAGACCTATTGACATATCAATCCTACATGAAATGCTTAAATTCTCAAAACTCTATTACACATAATAATCTAAACCAAGCATTCATGATAAAACTCATCAGCCATGAGAAAGCAATTTAAATGCACATAAGGCAATGGAAAACAAGAATAACACCAATCCCAAAATCATATAAATCCAATTGCACATGATAAGAACCGAATTTAATAACTCACCATGAACTTTCTCCCCTATACCAATTGACCTACACAACATTGTAGCTTGCCGGTATCTAGCAATGATAACAAAGTAGCCAACAAGCTCCTCTTTATCAACCACAGCTCCCAAACCATAAGCTGCCACTAAATGCAAAAACGCCAGTGTCTCCAAAGAGTTATCTCTGCTCAACCTGAGCTTCCCTTTCCACTCTAAAGCTAACTGCTTTGCTCTCTCCCTCACTTCATCACTAAAGCTTACACCAGTTTCCATTAACTGCTCCAACAAAAACACGCAAACCCTCCTCAAACCGAACAATTCCGGGTCTTTATCGCCTTTAGACTCTGAATTCTCTGCATGAAACCCCTCCATTGCATCCAAAACCATAGCCGCAGGATCCGGGGCACTCTTTAGTGCACCCGGAAACTCCATTCGAATAGCTTCCCGCTCTTTTTGGTGGTCATTTACATACTTCCTCAACCCCTTCCCATCCATTCTCTCACAAAACTCCTTCAGCTCCGGACGAGTCACCACCGAGTCAATTCGGCTCGACGCCGGAGCTAAACCATCAGATTGCAATCTCACTGAATTTGACGACGATGGTTGCTCAGCATTCAACGGTACAAGCTGATTTAACGGCCGATTCGCAATCGAATCAGTGACAGACTGAACCAGGTCCTGTCTCGTTAACGGTTCCGAACCAGACCGGTCTCCCTGTTTCACCGACAGCGGCTGAGCCGAGCACCGAGTGTGCTCCAAAACGGGGACGGCACCAACCGGACGGTCAGCAAACTCGCGCGACTCGAGGATGCGGAATCGTTGAGTTACCGAGTTCTGAATTGCCGTGAAGTGAGAGTCGAGGTCGGACCAGGAGATAGAGAAAGAAGAGAGTTGCAAAGCGTTGGCTTGGAGATCGTCGAACGCTTTCTTCAGTTCCTCCTTTTTTACGTCTATAAGTTTGATCGCCGATTCTATTTCTTTCAGCGACGGAGGTACCGTCGCCAAAAGATTTTGCGACGACATTAAAAACCTAAGCGAAAAGAAATAACAGAGAATTTGCGACGATTTATTTATTTTCTCTTCCCCTTTTTCCCAGTTCGTCAAGCGTGTAACTTGCCGGGAAACAAGTAAGCCGAAGGCGGTTAGGTTCATAAAACGGTGTCGTTTTAGTACTTGGAAAAATTCATATTCGGCCCAAAACTTTGATAAATAGCCAATAAAGGTCTTGGGCTTTTAATTTGACCCAATTAGAATTGCCCCATTTTGGTCAATGCAAAGGCCCAACAATATTTATGAGGTCAATCTATATATATTATTAGCGACCCATTTTTTTATTGCGTCAATTGTAAATTTTGAATATCGAAAATCAATCAAAATAATCAAATAAATTGTTCCTTCTAACCGATTAATATTGAAATCAAAAAATTGGATTCAATCAATTTTCATCAATTATTTCGATTTACATTATTAATATTTATCTCGACTTACGAAAACACAAACTTAAGATTGGAAATGATAATTGTTGAAGGCATAAAATGAACAAAAAAGAACATTAACTTCTTAAATATGAAACATATATATATATATGTTCATATATAAGCAATAATGATGGGAATGTTGCTGTCATATCACATGCTTGCACAACTCATAATGCAATAAGGTTCCCCTGGACAAATTTTGGCCCCTCTTCCATTATAGAGATTGCAAACCAAGGAAAACAGAAGTGGATAATCATGACAGGCAACAAAAAGCTTCTGATAAAGGGGATGGATAATGCTCCAATGGCTCCAAAAGATAAGCCTTGATTTCAATATAGTTTGCTCCCATTTTTGTTTGCAGGGTATTATGGCTTACAAGTTTTCTTCTTCTGTGTTTCCCTCTGGGGGAAGGCAAATAGACCAATTCAGAATTCTAAACATTGCATATGGGGGGCTATGGGGCTTTGCATGTGAGGTGGGGGCACTAAGTTGTAACCCTGTGATTTGCGAAAGTGACAGGTTAAGAGAATTTAAATTCGACTCTTTTAATTAAAAAATATATATTTATTATTAAACAAATATTGAAATACAAGAATGCACGTTATTTTTATTTAACGGAATTGGTCGGACCTAATTACATCCAAATACACTAAATTTTTGTCATTCATATAATGTGAAAGTGTTTGCAACTTCTTAACAAGGTCTCAACCCAAAGTAGTAAAGACTTTGTCATTGATTTGCTGTTATTTATTTATTTATTTTAGAATTAAAAGGTTAATTTAATAAGGTTTTGGGGTTGATTGCTATAACAAGTTAAGCATATCCAAGTACAACATTCTATCTAAATAATATCATACTATTAAAGTAATAGTTACCATTTATGTATATCTTAATAATTTTGCATTTTTAACCGTAATCTTCTCATTTTTATCACGTTTATAGTTTATATACATAAACAAGATAAAAATTAAATTAAATATACATCATGCAAGAACCAGTATATCTAAAAAAAAATTCAAATAAATATATTTATTGATTAATTCGAGCTATTTAAAATCTGTTCAAAGGCTAATTCATATTGATCTTAGTAAGGGTATTATACTTTGTCTCGATGCCTCAATAAACAAAAAAAAAAAAAGAAGCTATATATATAAGATATAAAGAAAGATTGACTTGGTCTTATTTTGTTGATTCAAAGACTTGGGGGAAGAGTTATCTTCATAAAAATGCACCTCATGTGATATCTAAAGGAGATTTGAATATTGGTCTCTTTTTTATTTATCTTTATTTAATAATTTTTTTATATTATTAATTTTAAATCGAGATTTTCATGCTTGTGACACATGGACGATATCGGTTTTATAGCAGCCCTTTACTTTTGAAAATTAATTTTAC